ACCTGTGGCTCAAAGGAGTAGGGCACTAGCCCCATATACCAGAGGTGATGGGTTCAAACCCAGCCCCAGCCAAAAAAAAACCTGCAAAAAAAAAAAGGATTTAAAAATTGGCTAGGTGGTGTGGCTCAAGCCTGTAAATCCGAGCACTCTGGGAGGCCGAGGCGGGTGGATTGCTTTGTTTTTGATTCTTGTCTGTCGCCCCTATGGAGACGATCCTTGAACGGTGGCAGGGATTTTTATCTATTTTGTTCATTGTGGTGTCCGCAGCGCTTGGTAAGATGCCTGGCACGCAGTAGGTGCTTAAGAAACTGAGCGACTAGTTCAGAAAAGGACGGACGTTTGACGTTTTTGTGGCTGCAAGGGGAATTGGGCCGCGTGGGGGAGCTCGCGGCCCGTGCGCCTCCGGTGGGAGCCAGCCCCCCACCCCACCCCCGCGCCATACACACAAGTTAGAGAAAAGTCGCCTGATCTGTGCTCACTTCCGCAGCACATGTACTAAAACTGGAACGATACAGAGAAGATTAGCAATATATATATATAATTTTAAAGTCTCCTGATATTAAAATAGTAATCAGCAACGCGGGAACATTCCCGTTCCACTCTGTTTTTTTTACCCAGGCCGTTCCGGGGCAGGACTTCAGTATCTCCAACCTCCCCTCCCCGCCAAGAAAAAGATCCCCGTGGAAATTCCTTAGGAATGACCAGTGCTGGGGGAAGGATGCGTTTCTGGATGGCGGGTGACTCGCAGCCCCCTTTCCCTGGAGGAAGGGCCGCGTCCACCGGTCCCCAGGATCCCTCCCTTCCCCTTCTGGAGCACGACCTCCCTGGCCCCTCCGAGGTCTCCATGGCGACAGCAAGGGCGCTCCACAACAGGAAGCCTTGAGGCCGTGCTGCTCCTTACTCGGAGACCCCAAAGTTCCCTCGATGTAGGGAATGACAAGTTTTGGGGTCACATGCAAAGCCGGTGGCCAAACACCCGCACATATTCAGCGCAAGACCCCAGAGTCCGAGTTTCAGGTGCCGTGTGCGGGTAAGGCAAAGGTTCCAGCGCCCCCTCTCTCCGCTGTACTCGAGGTTTGAATTGCTGGCTCAGTTTCCTCGCGAAGCCTGGGACGCCAGCAGAGGGGCTCAGGGCGTCGGGAACACATGGCTTCCTTCCTTTTTCTGGGAGCTGTAAAGACGCCCCCGCTACCGAGGCCAAAAGGAGAAGCGAGGAGACTGCGGGGGAGGAAGCACCCATGGGTGGCAGGGGGAAGAACGCTTATTTCCCCAGACATGATGCGGCCTCGCGGCCTCGCGGCCTCGCGGCCTCGCTCCCACGGTCCTGGGCTCGGGGAGGTGTTTGGGCCTGTTCTGACCGCTTCTCGGGAAATCTCAACGTCAGCTGGGCAGGGACATGCCGCACTCTTGAATGGAGGGTGCCGGGTGAGGATTCCTGGGCCTCCTACTCACGCGAAGGGCTCGTCCGGTCGGTTAAAGAGGCCTGTGTGAGCTGGGGAGTCAAGGCTTGAGACTGGATCACTGCTCAACTCGGAGCCACAGCTTACGGTTCTGTGAAATGGGCACAATAACAGTCTCCTCTTGCCCAGGGTGGTCGGCAGACTCCAATAAAGTGCTGATTGCAGTGTAAACAGCGAGTGGAGCTCAGCCCAGCTGAGAGATGGGATGCAATGGTGAAAGGGCTAAGCGGTGGCGCCCAGAGTCAAGGCCGCAGTGTAGAAGTTCAGGCCAGGTTTATTGAAAGTGAACGGTGACCCACCTGGGCACTGCAAAGGTAGCACCTGCTCCCAGGGGCAGTTAGAGACCCCTTTTATATGGGGCTGTAGGGGGTGGGCAAATTCCACAGCTTGCCAGTAAAATTAGGGTCCTTTGGCGCGAACTTCTAGAGGGTGGGGCTAGCCAGGTCCTTTGTGTCTTTGTCTTCGGAGGAGAGAAAGAGGGGAAAAGGGTCTGTGTGTGGCTGTGTTAGGCCCCTCCGCCAACACCTGGGGAACCCGGAGCAGCCTCCGGGTCACCAACCCCCTGCTGCGACCACCCATTACTTCAGTCTGGAAATTCCTCGGTGGGCGGGGGAAGACAGCCTGGCTCGAGCCAGGCACACTTTCAGTCCGGAAAGGCCCTCGTTCCGGAGGGAAGGCGCGAGATTTCCGGGAAAGCAGCCCTGCCCCTCGGCCCCCAGTGGCCAGCGGTTATAAAGGGACCCGCGCACTTCTCTGTGCCTCAGTCCGCTGAGCCTCTCTGTGCTTCGTTGCTGCCACCCGGCCCTGCCTCCGCCCGCTATGGCTCTCGGTGGCGTCCTGCGTACCCTACCTGTGCTCCTGGCCCTACTCGGGGCTCTGCTCCCAGGTGAGTCTGGGGGAGGGCGCCGTCGGGCCAGCTCCCTGGATCCTGACTGTACCCTGGGCACCCTTGGAAGGGCCCATTCCCTGTAGTAGCTGTTTATGGGAAGGTGGGGCTGGAGGCACTGATTGAAATTCAGTCAACAACTGAGAGTTCAAATTCCGCATATGTGACCTCAGGCTATAGATTGCCCCTTCCTGTGCTTAGTTTTCTGAGCTGTAAAATAGGTAACGTTATAGTGGCCACCTGGCAAGGTTTGTGTAGTGGCTCAGCATAGCACCTGGCCCCAGGATGCTGTCAGATGGTTTGGGGATTTGCTCCCCAACCCTGCCCAGAGTGTAGTAGGCTTGATGACGGCCCACCACCACCGGTAGCACCAAGACACATTCTGTTCTTTATCCTCTTCCCCTGGGGAAGTCCAGGGCTGCTTCTACTCAGGGGAATTCCAGAGCTGACTTACCCAGGGCCCCTAAGCTGAGAAGGTCATCCCACTCCCCTCCCCACAACTCCAGCCCAGCTGGGAAAGAGGGAATTGAGGCAGAGGTCCCCAAAGGTGGTGAGTTTTGGGAAGCAGGAGAGTGGAAGATTGACATCTTAGTTAATAGCCCAACAAAGAGTTCTATTCCTGACTCTGATGCTGACTCCACTGCTTTCTCCTTGAGTTGTCTACCTTCTCCCAGTCTCTCTTTCTCTGTGTGAAATGGGAACAATTCCAGAATCACCCTAGGAGAATTTACAAAGCCAATGTCTTCACGCACCTCCACCCCAAATAGAGCAAATCTGAGGACAGTAATCATTGGGGGACAGTAGTAGGCCTGGGTTCAGATAGACATTATTTTTAGCTTTGGAGGCACCAGAGTCTGAGGGATCTAATCAAAACAACTCCCTTCTTTCTTACCTGTATTACCTGCAGGGTAGGTACTCGCTACCTGGCCTGTACTGAGTTACTTGTATTAGCATTGCATTAACTCACTGCAACTTCAAACTCCTAGGCTCAAGCAATCCTCCTGCTTTAGCCCCCTAAGTAACCGGGACTATAGGTGTGCCTGTGCCCAACTAATTTTTAATTTTCTTTTTTAGTTTTTAGTAAATTTTAAAATTTTTTTGTAGACACAGGGTCTTGCTATGTTGCCCATGCTGTTTTTAAACTCCTGACCTCAAAATGATCCTCCTGCCTTGGCATCCCAAAGTGCTGGGATTACAGGCATGAATGAGCCACTGCACCTGGCCTGACTTCATGTTGTTAAAATGGACTCTGCTAAAATCCTACCCATGGCTGCCTATTACCCTAAGAATAAAGAACACATCTTTAGTGTGGATTATAGTGCCCACATGTTCTTCCTGAACTCATTTCCCACCACTCTTCCATCCAGCTCTAGGCTCCAGCCACCTGCCTCAGGACCTTTGTGTCTGCTATTCTTTTTTTTTTTTTTTTTTGAGACTAAGTCTCACTATGTTGCCCTCGGTATAATGCTCTGGTGTCATAGCTCACAGCAACCTAAAACTCTTGGGCTTAAGCCAGTGGTTCTCAACCTGTGGGTTGCAACCCACAGGAATGGTATTAAAGGGCCGTGGCATTAAGAAGGTTGAGAACCACTGGCTTAAGCAATTCTCTTGCCTCAGCCTCCCAAGTAGCTGGGACTACAGGTGCCCACCACAACTCACCCAGCTATTTTTTGTTACAGTTGCCATTGTTGTTTAGCTGGCCCAGGTTGGGTTCAAACCTTGGTGTATATGGCTGACCACTGTGCTATGGGCACTGAGCCTGTGTCTGCTATTCCTTTTGCCTGGAATCCACTTCCCTTTTCTGAATATCAGCAGGCCTTTCTCATCACTTAGATCTCTGCTCAGACATCACTTTGTCCCCAAGGCACTCTGATCTATCACCCTGTTTTGTTTTCATCAAAGCTCATATTAACATCAGTTATTAATTATCTTGTTTGTTCTTGAACATTTATTTCCATCTCTCACACTGAAGGCAGAACATTTTGTCTTGTTCAAGGCTGTGTCCCCAGTACCCACCATTGGCTGGGTCCACAGTCATGTTATGTGATGAACCTGATTTATAATGTCTGTCCCCTCTTCACCCTTTTCTTCCAGGACCTGGAGAAGCCCAAACATTTGTATCTCCCTCAAAAGCCATGTTACCCCGAGGAGGCTCCCTGCAAATAAATTGCAGTTCCTCCTGTGACCAGAAAGCCACTGTGGGCCTGGAGACTCCATTGACTAAAAGACTAGTGACCCGTGGTGACAACTGGATCGTGTATGAACTGAGCAACGTGGGAAGAGATAGTAAACCAATATGCTTTTCAAACTGCAACAATAACCAGTCATCAGTTGGAGCCTCCCTCACTGTTTACTGTGAGTGGCTGGGCCTAGGGGGCTGGCCCTGTAGATAAACAGGGCCAACTCTAGGGGGCTGGGAGAGTCTTTGTTGCTAGACTTTAGGACCAGGACAAGCTCACTGAAGGGCAGATGGGGAGATTCTTGGAAAGTCGCATTGTCATTTGGAAGTCTTGTTGAACTTCTTTTTTTTTGCAATTTTTGGCCAGGGCCAAGTTTAAACCCACCATCTCCGGTATATGGGGCAGAGGTTGAACCTCTTTAGATGGATGCATTTAAAGCAGTCACAGAAATTTAGCACATTTGAGAATGCTACCTCTTTATGCCTTGTTCTTTAAACATGTGACAAGGACCCAGTTCCAATACTTTAAAAAAAAAAAAAAAGATGTAGATTAACCCAAGCATAGTGGCCCCTTCCTATATTCCCAGGAAGGTTGAAGTGGAAGGATGGCTTGAGCCCAGGGGTTGAAATCCAGCCTGGGTAACATAACAAGACCCCACAGCTATTAAAAAAAGAGAGAGAGGGAGGTGCAAAACTAGCCGTGCAATGATATTTTGCATATTTGCAACAGTCAAAAATATTGATAACAGCTGTGCTGGCCAAGCTAAGGGACAATGCTACATGTGGCCCTGCCCCTGAGGGATCTGGTGGAGGCATGGGATTATTCACTGCAGCTTTTTTTGGTTATTATTATTATTATTATTGTTTTGCAGTTTTTGGCCAGGGCTGGGTTTGAACCTGCCACCTCTGGCATATGGGGCCCACACCTTACTCCTTTGAGCTATAGGAGCTGCCCTTGGGTTTTATATTTTTTGGAGACAGGGACTTTGTTCTGGGCATGAGAGCAGCAATGTGATCCTAGCTTACTGCAACCTCCAACTCCTGGACTCAAGCAATCCTCCCACTGCAGCTCTATCTGAAGGTTAAAAGTTTACAAACCACTCAAATATTGAGGGCCAGGGAAAGAAACTGTGGTTTGGCCACACCAAGGAATAGTATGCAACTGTGCAAAAGAATGAGTGAGCTCCAAGGTGTATTGTAAAGTTGCAAAGAAAGAAAGTATGCTGAGTATGCGTGGCATGCCACTCTCAAGTTAGGGAGCAGCAGGGGGAAGGTGGGGGAGGCTGTATTCATGCATAAAAGAGTCTTGAAAGAAAATGTAAGAAATCACATTAATTGGCTTTGAGGAGAGAGGCTCTGGGAGAGGGCTGGAGAGTGGAGAACTTTTTCTGTGTACCTTTTTCTACCTTGGCAAGAATGAGTTGCTAAGGCACAAAAATAAATATAACTCAAAGGAAAGTGAAGTGAACTGGAAAACAAGGTACAAAAAAAGGGAAGAAAACTGGCCAAGTAGCTTTGGAATTAGCTTTGGATTCCAAGTCCCAGAATGACCCTAAATAGCTTGGCGACCTAGGGGGACAAGATCTCTTGCTTTCCTTTGCTGTCACATACAACCTCCTCTGCAAGGTATAATGATTCAGTGAGGCAGGAAGAATAATCCACCATCATGACACTGGGGCAAAAGAAGCCTTTGGGCAAATATCAACTTTGCTTCTGATTTGGTGAATGTTTGAGCAAATGGTGGCCAGGCCCTCCCAGGGAAGGGAAGTCCCCAAACATTCCTGGTAGCCTGGGAAAACCCTAGAAACCTCTTTGGAGGGCTTTCTGCATCTCTGCCTTATAATTGTAAGCCCAGTGGCTGGAGTCTTCTTCCTGCCTCAGACTTCCCAGCAGCTGGGATTATATGTGCACACCATCGTGCCTGGCTAAGTTTAAATTTTATTTCTTTTAGGTTAGGTGCAATGGCTCACACTTGTAATCCTAGTGCTCTGGGAAGCCAAAGCAGGTGGATCTCTTGAGCTCAGGAGTTCAAGACCAGCCTGAGCAAGAGCAAGACCCTGTCTCTACTAAAAATATTAAAATAGCCAGGTGCTCTGGTAGGCTTCTATAGTCCCCACTACTTGGGAGGCTGAGGCAAGATTACTTGAACCCAGGAGTTTTTTTTGTTTTT